GCTTTTTAAGTCAATTTTCTGGGATTTTTGGGGCGATTTTGGGGTTTTTTGGGCCGATTTTCGCGGCGATTTTTCCGGCGATTTCGGTGGGGATTTTTTTGATTTTTTTGGATATTTTTGTGATATGCTTGGGGATATTTTTGGGGCTTTTGGGGCTCACCCGTGCTGTTCTCCCCACTTTGGGGATTTTGGGGTAGATTTTTGGGATTTTTTAGGGGAATTTTCTGGGATTTTTGGGGCGATTTGGGGTTTTTTGGGCTGATTTTCGCGGCGATTTTTCCGGCGATTTTTGGTGATTCTGAGTGTGAATTTTGTGATATTTTTTTGTGATTTTTTGGGGTTTTTGGGGCTCACCCGTGCTGTTCTCCCCTCCTCCCGTGGCCGTCATCCTCGCCACGTGATCCACCCCGATCCTCTCGGCCTCCTCGGTGGCCAAAGTGTACGGCAGCTCGGCGAACAGCAGCGTGGCCTGGGGGGAAATTTGGGGTCATTTCGGGGGATTTTGGGGCTCCAAATATCCCTAAAATATCCCCCAAATCCCACAGTGTCACCCCAAAAAAACCCGGGAAAAAACGACCCAAAAAAACCCAAAAAAACCCAAAAATGCCCCAAAAACAGTGAAAATTTCACCCAAAATGGACCCAAAATGGACCTAAAATTGCTTTAAAAAGGACCTGATTTAGGGATTCCCCCAAAAAACCCAAATTTATCCCCAAAAAGACCCCAAATTTCACAAGAAAAAACCCGGGAAAACATGCCCCAAAAAAACCCAAAAAAACCCCAAAAATGGTGAAAATTCCACCCAAAATGGACCCAAAATCCCTTTAAAAGAAATCAAATTGAGGGACATCACAAAAAAATCCTAAATACCCCAAAATTTCCCCAAAATCCAACCAAAATCCCTCCAAAATCCTCCAAATTCCAAAAAAATCCCCAAAATTCCCCCAAAAAATTTTGGTTTTCCATCCCAAATTCCTTTCGAATTCTGAAAACCCTTTGGAATTTGGAATTTCCTGCCCCAAATCCCTTTGGAATTCCCATCCCAAAATCCTGAATTTTTGGGAATTGTTGGGATAAAAAGTGGGAAAAATCCTGGATTTAGGAACAGGAAGTTTTGGGAATTTTCGGGAATATTTGCAAATTTTTTGGGGAAATTGTTTTGAATTTTGGTTAATTTTTTTGGGGAAATTTCTGGAATTTTGGGAAATTCTTTTTTTGTAAATTTTGGGAAATTTTTTTGGGGGCATATTTGAAATTTTGGGAGTTTTTTTTGGAAATTCTTGGAATTTGGGGAAATTCTTTTGGGAA